TTTTTTTTATATATAAACATTGTTTTTTTTTTGTTTTTTTCAAATACATTTCCAAATAAAAAAGGCCAAAAATATGTTTACATAAATATATTTATTGCCAATATGTTTTTAGCCATTTTTTTAATATTTTTAAAAATGTATTTAAAAAAAAAGAAAGATATTTTTAGAACAAATTTTATTCACGAATGTCAGATTTGAAGAAAGAGTCAATTTGTTGTCAATAACATGTAATAAAACACAAACATTACAAATCAGTTTTGATCTGTAGTAAGCTTTTCTTTCCGTGGAGAAAGTAATAACAGTTATCAAATGACTAAATTATGATATTTGCTCAGGTGGGCGCTGGGGTCTTATCTATCGGATTGCAACATATATCCATGTTGTTAATTAAACATTACACATAGTGCGCGTCTAATTAGTTAAGCCAGTCGGCGTGGTAGCCCAGGCTCACATAGTCATAGCCCACTAGCATTAAGCCAGTAGGCGTGGTAGCCCAGGCACACATACATGCAGTCCACATGACTCTTTGGAGCAGCAGCAGTTCATATGTCTTGGCGATAGATCTGCTTATTGGGGGTGTTTTGTTCTTGTTTTGGCTTGTATTGTCCCTTCTATCTTCTTTCATTTTTTTTTTTTTTTTTTTTTGGGGCATTGTAAGGTATTTGGGGAGTACTTGTAAATGTGCTGAGGAAATGATGACAGAATTTTAATTTGAATACAATTTCTGAACAAATCATTATTTTTTGAAAGAACACAGTGGTTATAACATAAACAACATTACATCAAAAAATGCAGCAATTCTATATTTAATAAATATTATTTCACTTGATTGACTCGAATTGTTCAATCAGTTTTGGATTCGGTTCACTGAAGTGAACTGTCCGAACTAAGTGAAGTGAACGGTCACTAAAATTAATCGGACTTCAAGTTCAGGAGATAGTGTTGAATTTCGAACACAGAGAAGAACATTTCACATTTGTGCCATTCATCTTGTGCCATTGTGTCACATTTTTGGTGTCTTCGGCTTCTTATTCAAGCTGTTTTTTGACTCTGTGGGCACAGTTAGGTAAATATCAATTATCTAAACAACTTTCCAAACAAAACACTAAAGTTTTTATTTTTTTGTTTTGTATTAATATGTTACACATAAACAACATAATGACACTACTTTATCAGCATGATCGTGACGGAACTTGGATCGTGTTTCTTGCAACTTCAGTTCATCAGCGACTATTTGGCAACAAGTAAAACTATGCCCCTGACAAACTTGTAATCTAAAGTTTATTGTTACAAAAATATTATAAATCTCTATTTCATAAGCTACCTAACCACATAATCACATAAACTACCAAATTTTGCTACAAGTTAGATTGCAACATATAATCATTGTGTAACGGGGCGAACGAGACGTGAGACGTGCGGATCCATATGCAAGGCTTTATTTCCAAGACGTGGTCAAATAACAGGCATGGGTCAAACAATGGCAAACAGGTATAACGTGGGCAAGACACAAGAGTAGTCCAGTAAATGGGCGTAGTCGATCTCTGGCGAACAATGTCCAAACAGGGTAATCCAAAGGGGTAATCTGAAACACAAGCGATAGTCCAGGCGAGAGGTAAACAGTAAACAGGGCGAGACGAGAGGGGAAATCCAAGACAGGCAAAATTGTTCAGGTCAGGCAGGGAACAGGCGAAACTAGAAAACAGGCTAGAGTTCAAACACGGGAAAACAGACTATGAACAAGACTAAGGCTAGACTCAGAAAACTTGGAATGGCTCTGTAAAGTAGCTATCGCTGGAAGAGTGATAAGTGCTAAACAATACTCGGCAGTGAGAGAGAAGAAGTCCATGGCTTATGTAGGGTGTGTGATTGGCTGCAGCCGTGTGTGTAATCAGAGTGAAATGGATTGTGGGAACTGAAGTCCAGGGTGAGTGTGACAGTCTGTGTAGTGTGAGAGTCCATGTGGTGGATAATGACCTCTTGTGGTGAACAAACAGAAGTTCATAGACTGGATTCGTGACACATTGCTGTTAATAGTGTTCATCGTCTGTTAGATTATGTCATTAACTGAATTTTACCGTACATTTCTGCCATATGAACATCAATTTGACATAGTCACCACTGACAAGCTACTACTAAATATATTGTTGAAACTTAATTGTCTGTAAAGCTGCTTTGCAACGATTTGTATCGCGAAAAGCACCATACAAATAAACTTGAATTGAATTGAATTGAATTGTTTCACGTTAATCATGTTAACTTTGACAGCCCTAAATTCAAGAGATTTGCACACAGTATGAGATGCAGTCTGCCAAGTTTTTCCCACCCCCTTTTGATAGACAGGATATAATCGGCCCATATATAATATAATCAGGGCCGTCGCAAGGGAGAGGGGGGTATGGTTGCTATAGCGAATGCAACTTTAACACGCATCTGATCGATTGTGATGCCATGCTCACTGACATGCTTGCGCACAAATCACAGTCACACATACGCTCATAAGAATTGTAAGATCTACTGCATAATAATAATAAAGCAATTAAATAAATAAATAAGAATTCTAAAATAAGTTCTAGGTTTGTAGTTATTTGTGAAGAGATCAGATGCAAAAGCCTCTAAGTACCATCTAAAATTTTCTTCTAAAATGGATATTTTCTCATGCTCTTATGTTTATGTTCAGTTATTTTACTTTAATGGGAAAGAAAAGAAACTATTCATTGCCATTAAAGTGAAATTACTGAACCTACACATAGGAGCCTGATAAAAATGCTAACTTTTAAAAACGGCACTTAGAGGCTTTTGCATCTGAACTCTTCAAATTAAGTAGTAATCAATTTACACTATTTTAAAATAATATTATATTTTAAAATGTGCACATTCACTCTTATTCGTATGTCTAATAGTCGAAAACGCAAACGTCTCCTGTCACGTTCATTTATGATTTACGTGATTCATGATCACATATTTTCAATTCAAAACGGCGAAATTTCATAAAAAATTGAGTAGTTTGCATCACAAGATGGTCTATTACTGTCGGTCGCTGAACCTTTCTATCGTAAAACAGTTTTCTTATACAGTACTACTTACATCTTTCCACAAACTCTCATTGTGTTGTGACAGTGACAGTAAGACCCGCCTTCTTTGATTTGATTGGCCATCTCGATCATTTTGACATTGACGAACGTTGTTGGACCACTGAGGCAGACCAGCCTAAAAGTTAAACTTTTAAAACTGTTTGTCATCCTAACAACAAACAGCTTTACTCATTCTTATACACAGATTCTTATACTGTCTATCAGCTATGACTATTTTAGTCTTTGAAAGGCCAAAATGGGTGTAAAAACAGTAATAAAAATTAGACATAAACGACATAAAGTGCAGGCCAGGAGCGAGGCCCTCTAGAGGCACGAGGCCCTGTGTGGTCGCACACTTGGCATAGCCCTTGTGACGGTACTGAATATAATATAATATCCCATCTTTTACTCTACCCAACAACTTTTAAATATATACTTCGAAGAACAGACGTGGACTAAAAGTCTAGAAAATGCTGGAAGATATGTGTGTGTGTGTGTGTGTGTGTGTGTGTTATTCTGTGAACATGCAATATATATTTTTACACCGATTTTTAAGTCCGACCAGAGCATTTTTGCATAAGTGTGCTTTCAGTTGTTCCTATATTATTTCGTAAATTTAAAATAAATTTTAGCATGAAGGTTTTTAGTGAATCATGATTTTTTTTCATACACAGGTTTCACACACAAATCTGTGCATACGCATGCTTAGTGAATGAGACCCATTGTTTTGAAATGTTTCTAAAACATTGAAATGTCCAGTTTTCTTGTTGTGATTTTAAATATACATTACAAAAACGGTTACTAAAACGTTTCTTACAGCATTCTACTAACTTTATTTTCACGCAAAATATACGCTTATTTCAACACTTTTTTATATATGTATATTGTAAGAACATGTTTGGTTTTCTTGTCTTGATTATAAAATTATTTAAAGGTTACAAAAACATTTCTTATAATGTTCTACTAACTATTTTCACCAACATTATAGGGTTATTTGAACACATTTTTGATATTCTAAGAATGTTAAAATTCTCAGCTTCTCATGATAATGTTATTTAAAGGTTACAAAAATGTTTCTTCAAATGTTCATCAAAATACAAATAACATCTGAGAATGTTGTTCCAAGAATGTTTTCTCTCAATCTAATGAGAACATATATCAAATATTAAAGTTATATGAACATTCAATAAACATTAAGAACATTTAGTCCTAACATTTGTATAACTTTAAAAAAATGTTAGTGGAAGTTGTGAGAACGATCCCTGTTAGCTGGGGACCACTTTTCAGTGACCAAGTCAATGCAAACTCTTTACTTAGAATTTAAAGTGGACTTAATTTGTCTATTTTTAATTGTGATAGTGTCTCAGTTCGCACACACAAACACACACACACACACACACACACACACACACACATATACTGTATATATATAGTTACCATAGTAAAGTGTTGTACTGGTTATAACTGACATGATAGCAGTCACTCCTGCTGAATGTGCTGCTCTCATTGGTGCCTATTTAGGGACATCCCCTCCCTAAACATCTCTGGTAACACACACACACACACAGGAGTCAGGACAACAAGTGTGGTCGATATGTCCAGCAGAGCATAAAATTACAGTAACACCATGCTGTAAGTTAAATGCTGTGTGTCTCATTTAGGACATTTTGCTGTCGTGCACTGGTTCTGTGAGCATCTGCAGGTCTGCGTCTGCATATGTGGCTGCTGCAGCCAGTCATGTGTTCACGGGTGCTGAGGGTCAGAGGTCAGGCGGAGGACAGCAGTCTGCAGGATCGCGGTCAGTGGGCTAGTAAAGCTGAGTTTCTGCTTGCTGTTGCTGCACAGATTATTGGTCTGGGTAACGTGTGGCGATTCCCATATCTGTGTTACAAGAATGGAGGAGGTGAGAGACGTTCAGCGCTCTAGTCATGCATTCTGTCTTTAGTTTATAATATTCATATCATGCTTGATTGAGATACAGTGTCCTCAAAAAGTATACTTTTATATTTTGTATGGCATATGCATGAAAATAATTTTAAAGTATATTTTAAAATATATTTTGTAGAGTAAAAGATGGGATACAAATAATACAAATATTTTGAATTTGAATTTTAAACACTTTATTATCCATTATCAGGGAATTTTGTCTTTACAGGACATATCACATACAGTAGACATACAGCTTATTCACAACACATAGAAATATAATGCATTCATAATAGAAAAAAAAAAAAACACATTTTACTTTAAAATGAAAAAGTCAAGACAAATGTCGATGACAAGAGCACACAACAAAATGACTTAAACTGAAACTAAATTTACTAAAATTAAAATGAAAACTAAGTTGAAATATAAAAATAAAATAGGATTCAAAATATTAAAAAAAAAAAATAACACTGATAAAGAGGGTTCATAAAAATTACATTTTGTTTTGTTTTTTTAATTTAATATTTTATATTCCAGCTGCTCTATAACTGAATTTAATTTGTTTCATGATAAACTTTACAACATCAACACTATTACTGAACTGAACTGATCAGAATAATGACTCTGTTGTCTTCTGTAGAGCTGCTTTACAGTTGAAATTGAAGTTGGTTCATAATTGATGAATTTTAGGACATTAACACTGTTTTCCTGTTTATTTCTATGAAGCTGATTTGAAGCGGTGTGTATTGTATAAAGCGCTATAGAAATAAAGGTGACTTGAGTTTAGTCATGTGACTTGTGCTGTTGTGTATTTTGTTTATAAAATCAATCCTATAATCCTCCATCTCTCTGTTTGTTGAGGATAGGTGTGTTCTTCGTGCCATACATGTTATTCCTGGTAGTGTGTGGCGTTCCTCTCTTCCTGTTGGAGACGGCTCTGGGTCAGTTCACCAGTTTGGGAGGAGTCGGCGCCTGGATGAAAATCTGCCCTCTGTTTGCAGGTTTGAATGGTTGAAAGTAGTCGTGCATCCAAAAGTGAACATCCTCTCATAATTTAGTCACCCTCATGATGGTCCGTTTGACTCTTGTTTAAAGGGGTCATATGACGTTGCTAAAAATAACATTATTTTGTGTACTTGGTGTAATGCATTGTGTTTATGCAGTTTAAGCTTCAAAAAACACATTATTTTCCACATTATGTACATTATTGTTTCTCCTCTATGCCCCGCCTTTCTGAAACGCATCGATTTTTACAAAGCTCATCGTTCTGAAAAGCGAGGTGGCCACATATACAGTGCGTTGTGATTGGCCGAATACCTCAAGCGTGTGACGGAAATGTTACGCCCCTTACCATACTGTGATGCCGTGTCCCAGCGCAACGAGACAAAACCAGTAAAACCCATTATAAACGAGGCATTTGTTGCATCCAGTGGGGACATAATTACTGATTATAATGACTTATACTGTCTTTTTACGCGTTGCGTTGCGTATCGCGCTGCGTAAACATAAAACCATGTCTGCATTTGTGATAGGAGAAACTACAAACAACAAGCGCTACTCTACAGTGCTCAAAACTCGCGTTTGAATCATCAGTGGCAACTTCTTTAAATGTGAAAACGTACTTACAGGCTGTGAGTCAGAAGTGCCAGACTGTCCTTGCAAAGTTGGAATTGCCCCACTTTATAGAAACAGACACTGGCATTGTAGGCTACTCTCCCAGGAAACAGTCCTCATCCTCCATAAAATGTGTTGCACACATCTGAATATTTGGGTTGAACTGTTCCGGAACAGTGTTGTAAATACATTTTAACCACTGATTTCTAATTGTGTCCTCTTTTGGAAGGCCAAACAAAGTAGTTTCGCTTTCACAAGGAAACACACAGCGACTCCACAACATGGTGGCGTTGGCAGCGACAATACTACAGCGAGAATCAAAGTTACGCCTTCTTTCTTTGCGTGAACATTTAGGCGGCGTTATGCAAATCTTCCCACATCGTGACGTAGACATGTGGGAGCGTGTTAGAATGAGCCATTTTAGGTAGGCGTGGTTGACTCTTAACTTTTATAAAGAATATATTTTTGGATTA